AACATCCAGACATCCATTATCTGCCCTAGTCAAATCCCAGAAACTTTGGATGACTATTCTAGCCCCCAGAAATTAAGGGCACATGCTCAGGAAAGGGGCACAGTGTACAAGCTGAGGCCAAGCCCTTGTGATCCGACCCCCTTGAGCACACTGACCTTAACAATAACATGAATTTTTTTCATTTCCTTACACAATTCACTGAGTGCTGAGTGCTGAAGCCCAAAACCTGAAGCCTGAAGCCCAAAACCCTGAGACTTGACACCCTAAAATTTGAAAACCAAAAACCAAAAACCAAACACCAAATCTCGAAAAAATGCATATAACATGAATTTTTTTATTTCATTACACAATTCACTGAGTGTCAAGTGCTGAAGCCCAAAACCTGAGACTTGACACCTGAAACTCAAAAACTGAACACTGCAAACTGAATCTCAAAAAAATGTATATAACATGAATTTTTTATTTCATTACACAATTCACCAAGTGTCAGGTGCCAATGCCTGAAACCTGGACATATGTTTTGTAGTACCAGAGACCACTGAAACCTGAAACCCAGTACTACTGACTTCCAAGTGTTGGGACTCAGGACTTGGTAGTCAATATAGGCAAATGATGATGAAATAATGAAAGTTGTGGTCCGAGTCAAGGTGAGTGTCTTGGTAGTCTTTCCTTGTCAATTGGTTATCATTTGACCAAGATATGTATAAGCTAAAGAAATCCAAAACATTGGCAATAATGAAAAAATGACAATCATTGTTATGCTTAACTTCCTTAATGAAGGTTGTAGTCTAAGTCTATGTGAGTGTATTGGTGGTCCTACTGAGTGTTGGTATTCAAGACTTGGGAATCAGTACTCGGTACTCAGTTCTGATGCTCAGCACCTGGGAATCAGTAGTCAGGTACTCCAGCCAACAGTCCTGAGTCCTGAGTACCAACACTTGGTATTCAGTAGTCAGGTTTGGAACTTGGGTTTCGGGTCTTGATAGTGGGTTCTCAGGACTTGGGACTTATATCACTGCCAAGGTGATAATGATGACTACCAAGTGTTGGGACTCAGTACTTGGGATTCAGCAGTTGAGACTTGGTAGTTGATATTGGTAAATCACTCTCCCTCAGGGATAATGAAAACAATGAAAGTTGTGGTCAGAGTCTAGGTGAGTGTATTGGCAGTCTTTTCTTGTCCATCAGGTATCATTTGACCAACATATATGCTAAAGAAATTTGAAACATTGGGGATAATGAAAAAAATGAAAGTTGTAGTCTGAGTCAAGGTGAACATATTGGTAGGTGATATTAGCACTTGGAGCTTGAATACTGACTACCAACTATCAAGTGTTGGGACTCGGTACTTAAATGGATATAGCATGTATCCATAAAAATACAAAAGATGTTCCTATGTGTTTATTTCTAGGTGAATAGACTTTGAAATTATATCCCCATCATCTATTCAGCAATAGAAACAATGTATCAGGAGCTCAGGACCATAGGGTAATCCTTTATTGTATAGTGTACCTCCCCCTCTCCTGGTGGTTCACTCCCTGGGTATTTTCCTGCAGGACCAGACCTCAAGGACAGTAGGGAGTCTATTCCTGAGCATATTTGGAGTAGATATATCATATAGCCAGCCCAGGACACACATGATCCTTCTCCAGGAACAAAGCATAGACAATTGCACTTTTGACATTTTTCATGATTTTCAGTATCTTGCCCTTGCATCCATGATCCAATCTTTTAATATATAATAAGCATAGCTTATATTCTTGCTTCTTATGACCAAGATCAGCTCACAATAGGCTGGAGTTGTGAGCTAGTGTGTATGCTTGCCATTTCCACTGATAAGGGGCCATACCTTCAAGACATTGAATCTTAATAATCAGAATCCTGGAGTATATTTAAAATATATCAAGTATCATAGACATAAATTTACAGACAAATCCACCGAGAATTGAGTGCTGAGGAAGTGGAATAGACAAGAAATTGAGTGTGGGAAACTTCAAAGACCCAAAGCATCGAAAATGGTCAGTTGAGCAGTGGTAGGACTTTAATGCTGGGTCAACTCATATTTTCACTACATCCCTTCCACCCACTCCCTACCCTCAGGGCAGTAGGCAGCATGGGTTCCTTAGGTAGTTTACATTCTATCCTACATATTTGTAATGAAATCTTTGGCCAGAATCATATATAAATGTGACTTTGTGTAAAAAGATGCCTATTGTCACTTTTCACACATATGTCATTTTTGCCTGTCATTACATCAATCCTTCATGGATCTTTCTAAGCTTTTAGGGCTATTATAATGGACATATATGGGAGTTATTCCAGGTCTCTGATCACATCACAGGCTTGTTATGTTGGATATCTTGACATAATGTGCAAGTCTATTGATGTTCATTCTTTTATCTTTACACTCACTCACTGCAATCACAAACATTTACCATAGTCTTCCATCTCTCGCAGATACATATTATGATGAGTCTATTTGTTCTCAGACTGAGTTTTTCATCTCTTGCAGCCTTCTGTCTGTTGCTACTCACATCATGTGATGTAAGGTGCTTCAGGGGGTCAAATAAAGTTGGGAATTGGATTGACTACTGAGTCCTGACACTCAGTAAGCAGTACATCAATATTGATAACTGAGTCTTGACTACTGGGTACCAATGTAACAAACATACAACAAGTCAGAGTGTAATAAAACAGCTCTACTCTATATGGTTCTGCATCTGCCTAGCTGCTTCACCTGCAAAAGCAAGAATGTTTGACCCATGAGGGATCTGTGACTAGATGAGTGTTAGTAGTTATGATATCAATAAACATGAAGCTATATAAAGGTAACCCAAAGGTAGAAATGACAAGTCCAGAGGTAAAAAGTGTCAGCCAGAGTGCAGGAACCTTTGGCTGGAGCAGGAAAGGGAAAGGGTACAGTAAAATGAGGTTTGGAAACTAAGGAAAAGCAAAGGGAATGCAAAGGGACTAGGTATAGACAAGGTATTTGCAAAGGAGAGACTATTGAGGGAGTGATAACACGAGGGGAGACAAAGTCTCTGAAATATGGGTCTGGAAAATGAGTGAAAAGATATATTCCAAAGTACACCAAAGTACCAGGAGTATCTAGTGACCAAGACTCTAGAGAGGTAAGGAGAGGTGGTAAATGGTAAGGTATCCTATGCATCTGCATGGTACTTAACTAAGTATGTAGAAATCTGGAATGCTAGTCGAAATTTGTTAAGGAAGTTAAGTATAACAATGATTGTCATTTTTTCATTATTGCCAATGTTTTGGATTTCTTTAGCTTATATCTTGGTCAAATGATAACCAATTGACAAGGAAAGACTACCAAGACACTCACCTTGACTCGGACCACAACCTTCGTTAAGAAAAGTAAGCATAATAACAACTTTCATTATTTCATCATCATTTGCCTATATTGACTACCAAGTCCTGAGTCCCAACACTCAGAAGTGAGTAGTACCGGGTTTCAGGTTTCGGCACTCGACACTCAGTGAATTGTGTAATGAAATAAAAAAATTCATGTTATATGCATTTTTCAAGATTTGGTTATTGAGTCTTGAGTTTTGGTTTGTAGTTTTTGGTTTTTGAGTTTCAGGTTTCGAGTCTCGAGTTTCAAGCTTCAGGTTTCAGGCCTCAGGACCTCAGGTTTCAGGTTTTGGCACTCAACACTCAGTGATTTGTGTAATGGAATAAATTTTTTACATGTTATATACATTTTTGTGAGATTCAAGTTTTGAGTTTTGAGTTTCAGGTGTTTGGGTTTCAGGTGTTCAGGTTTCAAGACTTGGTGATTTATGGTGAATGAAAAATGGATATGTTGCACACTGGGTTTCGGTTTTTGGGCTTTTGGGCTTTGGTACTCATTGATCAGTGAATGTCAGATGTGGTGTATTCAGGTTTTCAGGCTTTGGTGGTTGATGGTAGGTATATGCACTCATATAGTGGGTATGTACTCCATGTAGTGGAGCTGATCCTGCTGAGGTGTAGGGCAGATAGTGGAGGGAGAACTGGGAATGTGTTGGATATGAGGTGGGGTCTGGACATAGGCTCAGAAGGTGTGAGAATATGATGGTCAGATTGTGGGATATGACAGGAGCTGAGAATGAGAATAGGGACTATTTCAGCTATGGGAGGGAGTTGCAGCATGGTGGGGGAAGATTACTAATGGGTAATGCTAAGAATTGATAAAGAGTGTGTTTATAAGAGTGGTAGAAGTGATTAGAACAACAGGAGGACACATGAAGTACCAGAATTATAGAGATTGTATTGGTCAAATTCAAAGTCAAAAAAGTGTCCCAATGAGTCACCAAATTAAAATGACCATATCTTCACATAATGTCATCGAATTCCCACGCTATGGGGAGCAAAGACAAAGTGAAGAAACAGAGCATTCTGACACCTCCCTATAGCTTAGTCATATTCCCACACCCTGACTCATAATGAAGCAATTACATGAAAACCCACAAACATTGGGACACTTTTTTGAGCCACTGTAAGTACAATGGGTTCAAGAAAGACAAGAAGGAAAACCAAGAAAGAACATAAGTGATGACACAAGGGATGATAAGTGAAATGAAATAGACAAGAACAATCAAGAATGAGAAGTCTAATGGCAGCAGTAAGCAGCATGTGATGAAATACAATGTAAGAGAAAAGAAATGATATAGGGGTGTACAAAGACTGTAACACCTGTCAACATGTTGGCCAGGAGGATTACAAACTAGAACTTGTTTCTGGTTGGAAATATATCCCTAACACTTCTCTGCAGTGGTTGTTCTCTCTCTATTGATGTATGATGTTCAACAACCTTAAGTGTGAACAATGTGTTATGCCTATCAATAAATGTCACTGTCATGAAGACCACATGAACCACTGTCAAAATTACTGGTCAACTCCTCATGATGATTCCCACTCAGGACTTTCCTGATTGTGAAATTTTGTTTCTGTGGAATGAAGGATATGTAACTTTTTTCTGAGTGATTCAAGGTACCATGTCTGTGATGGAGTGCATTATCATTGTCACTGTTCCTGGTTTACTTGTAGAACCAATCAACCCTGATCCCACTATCATTCACTTACAAGGCAATATCAACACAGATGACTTCTCTCAAGTCAATGGCAGCCAGAGCACTTGGCAGATTGTGTGAGATGCTTTTCAAGCTGCATGCAATCTTCTTTGGGCCAAGGCCACCAGTATAAATGCCATTCCAGACTCCTAACTCTAAATCTGGTTCTCTAGTTCTTTGGATCTGAGATCTGGATCTCTGATGATTTGATCTATCTTAATTTCACTTCTGGAACCCAAACCTTATATCAGTGTCCAACCCCATTTAGACTTCCCTTGTCTCTGGGACTCCAGTTAACTATGTTTCTTTCCTAATTACTGATCTGTTACATGTTTCATTTCTGTTATTTATTATTAGTGACCCATCCTCCTTACTAATAGACTTTGCATATGCTTTGTATGTAGCCTTGTGTTCTGCTGACTGATCCCTACATGATACCTACAGTATATAAGCCTCCTGTAACTCTTGGAAATACTTCAGTTTGAATATCATCTTAGTTCCTGCTCATTCCTGTGTCATCTGGACTTGAGCTAAGTCTCTTGTCATATCTGAGTCTTAGGATTATATCCTAGACTGTATCTCTGGCTCTACCTTAGGATAGTCTATCCTCTGTCAGTTTCTAGTTTGGACTTCATCCAGATTAGCCTTATCTACTTGTCCAGTCAATATCTGGATGTCCACCAGATTTATCTCACATTTTAGATCTGGACATCCAACATCCACCCTTGTCAAATCTGGAAACTCCTGATAACTCTCCTAGCCCTTGGAAATTAAGGGCATATACTTGGGAATGGGGCACAGCATATGAGCTGAGGCCAATCCCTTCTAATCCAACCCCCCTTGAGCATGTGACCTTAATAATGTCTTACTCAATTCTATTGCAGTTGTTGTCCCATCAGATTCCAAGGTGTTCCTATATCAATTCACAGATGGTATGCCTCAGATAGTTTTTTTCTCATTGTCTATATTTACTGATTTTCTTCTAAGTACATTAGCTGTTGTCTCCATTTAAGCAACAAACCAACTTACTGCTTCTAGAGAAGAACACATCACGACTTGTCTGGGGCCTTCATATTTTGCAAGCATTGTATCACACACCCAAAGCTAATATGAAAGACTCAGTAAGCATATTTTATTAATTTGATATACTACATTCTAATGACAGACTACAACAGGTTGGTACCATTCTTCCATGTAGGTTTTCTGGCCAATCAGGTTGGCCTGAGTGCACTCTCAAGGTCAAAGTTACAGCCAGTAGTCCTCTTAGCTGGGAGATGAAGTATGTGTACAAGCACACATTTTGATATGGCTTTGCAGACATGGGCTCAGCAAATACACTGTCTTGCAATGTCCCTGTCAATTGCTGCCTCTGCTATCCTATACTTGTTTCTGAGCTTGGAAAGTCCAAATGGAGAGTGTACAACAGTTATGTTGAAAGTGTCTGGTATTACAAGATAGTAGAGCATATCCTGGCTGAACATGAGGAGTATGCAGTTCCCAGACATAGAGATTGGTATGTCATATCCTGTATGCTGGACCTAGATCACATAATATTCCCACATCTTCCGAGCCTATGTCTGGACCCTACCTCTGACTCATTCCCAGATTCCCTTCTGCTATATGCTCTACACCTCAGCAGGATTAGCTCCACTATGAAATTACCTCTGAGCTCCAGACCTCTGGATCCTCACTACTAGCCTGATCCATACACCCCTATCCTGTCCACCCTATGCATATTCCATCCAGCAAGATATCCAGACTTTACCTTCTCTTGGATTCCAGACTACATCCATCATCTCACATATCTCAGTCCTGTTTCCACCTTGCCTTCTGGATCTCCGGACCTCCAGATATTAATTGTACTATCTCCAGACCTATTCCTACCCTCTGTCTGAGATCCTGCACCTATCCCCATTTAGGCATCTCTGCCTTTCTGGTTCTTAGGTTATCTCTGTTTCCATCTTGCTGATTGATCCTTGTACTAGTTTCATCTCTAAGTTCATTTACTTATGTTCAATCTCACTTACTAATGTGTTTTCACATGCTCGTACATAGCCTTACTCCTTTGCTTACTGATTCTCTTGGATAGCCTCTAGTATATAACCCCTATACAACTCCAGTAGAGTCCTTAGTCTGAATATCAATCTTAGACTTGCCCAATCTTCTTCTGGACTTCAGTCCATCTGAGTCTTGTCCTTTTCCATAAGGCCTAGGGATGGATTCCCTAGGCTGAAATTCTGGACCTTTGGATTTGTCCCCTATGTCTCTGTCCCAAGTCTAAGGATTGCTTCCCTAGGCTGGAGTCTTGCCTTTCCAGTACTTACCCTCTCTCTGGACTTTGGTCCACTTCCTGTCTCTCCAACCCTACCTATGGGTAGTCTACCTCTGTTTGCTTCTACATCAGACTTCATCCAATGTAGCCCCTATTCCTTCTGGACATCCTGTCCTCTGGACCTCTGGACCTCTGGACCTCCTATCCTTTCATCCTGTTTCCTCTAGAGGTGTTACCCTGGGGTCTCTTCCCTTCCAGTGCAGTGAGAACTCCTCCAAGTATTTTCTGTACTCCTCTGGATGTTTCCTGTGCTTCTCCAGAAGTCCTCCTGCACTCTACCAGAGTAGCCAGCCTCCAGAAGTCCTTTGGACTTCATCTGAAATGGAGGGCACATACTTGGGTAAGGGGCACAGCATACAAGCTGAGGCCAAGCCCCTCTGAGTCAGTCTCTCTCTCCCTTGAGCATGGTTCTTAACATGGTACCACCTTGCCAGAGGGTGTATGGTTGATGATAAAACTCAGGTATTCTATGAGAGTATTTCTAAGTGTCACCTCCTCCAGCCATGATGACCACACATGACAAAGAAATTTAGCCTGTAGCTTTGGGCTCTCAAAAACTCAAGCATTCTGGAACACAGACCAGTACATCTCACCTCTCAAAGAAAGCTTGCACAGCTTCTAGCAAGCTTCAAGTCAGTTTTTTTAGCAGTTGCTTGATATTTTCCTTTGCACTTTCCTATTCCTTGTTGTATCACTCATGTTCAGATTACTCATGCTTTCTATGTATTTTCTGAAGTGCCCATTCATGTATTTGTAGCTTACTCATACTCATTTGCTCCTCCCTTGCATCAATACTAGGACTTTGTTTGCATTGAGATTGTGTAACTAAGCTACCTAATATGGTCTAACTGCAGTGATCATCATACTGTGACAGTAAGAGGGGGAGGGGCTCTGAAGTATATCTAATATTCTAGTTTTATACACCTCTTGGCAGTGGAGATCCAGAAGTCTGGAGCTCAGGAATAATTCTATAGTGGAGTTGATCCTGCTAAGGTGTGGAGCACACAGTGGAGGGGGATCTAGGAGTGAGTTGGAGATAGAGTCTAGACATAGGCATGAAAGGCATGGACACCATAAAATATAGGTCTGGAATACAGGATATGACATATGTGATGAGTTATTCACTGGGTTAAGAGCACTAGGGACATAGTAGTGTAAGGACAATGCAGGAAGTAGGTTGAGTGGTAGCATGAATCTATCTGAATATGGTGTTGGTGGGGTGATTGTGACTGCATCCCTTCCATCATTCTTCCACAACCCCTCTGTTATCTTTGTAAATCATGAAGCAAGAAATTGGGATGGACTGTGTTGCTTGGATAATACTGAGGACCAGGAACTTGAATCCAATTGCTTTGGCCTATCTAATATCTCACCTGTCATTTTCCATCCTGGAATGAGATGCCAGGCTTGCTATCACCTATTGATCCAAATTGCAATGCCCATGCCTGAGCTAGCATCCAAGGTGTTAGGATCTATAACCATGCAGAGACCTGGGATGGGTCTGCTAATGGTGGATTTGCAAAGAGATGTGGACCATAAGCTGAGGTCAGTAGTGCAGATTTTGAGTGGGATATATGGTATAAGAGGACAGTTACCAAAAATGGACAGCATGGTTTCCAGTTCAGTGATGTAGGCTCTACCTGCTAGGATGATAAGCAAGGCATGTAATAGCTTTCCATAGAGTTTTTAGACTCCAAAGAGAACATAGCAGGGTTAAGATTTCCATGCCCAGATGACATCCAAGTACTTCTTCTGCTTGCTTTCTGGAATTTTGATTATGTATTTATTGAGGTTCCACATGAATTCTGTGAACAGTGGGTCATGACAAAACTGGATATCTTTAGATACTTCCCAGGAGTTACCTGTCTAGATAGAAATCATGCTAATGTCATCCATACAGCATGAGAATTTAGCATTTCCCATCAAGTGAGGGGACCTTTGAGGGAGATTGAGAATAAAAAATGAATAGTCCTTGTTGAATTCTTCTGGCTAGTCATTAGGTAGGGTAGAGCTATGATACCACTTCTAACTACCATTAACACACATACCTCCATGGTTATATATACTTTGAGCCCAGATTTTACACTGCTCATTATACCTTTGTAGGTATTCCAAGAGGATGTGAAAGAAGAAATGATTATCAACTCACTTTGACAAGGGTCTAATTCCCTCACTACAGACTATATCAGCTCTAGCATTAGTGAGTCCTCCATAGGATCCAGCTGCTGGAGAGCAGCTAAAACAGAAGCTCATGTCAATGGTGAAGTGGTCTTTGTTCATATGGACAATGAGCCCCACATATTGGGACAGGTGGAGGGGAATGGTCCTGTATGCCTCTTCCACATCCTGGGTTGCTCCTTGGGAGCTTAGAGTTAAGTGCCATACAAGTAAGTAAATAGTCAAAAATATACTGTAAGTGCAAGGATATAGGTTTGAGTCAATGGAGGAATTAATTGAGGTGATAGGGAAAATGAGAGATGATGAACTTTGAGATAGATTCTGAATGAGATAGAACTTGCCAGGTTTGCCTGGCTTAGGAATAATAAACAGTATAACTGTTTAGAATGGTCTGATAAGTGTTTTCACCTTAGCCTGTGAGAGGAGGCCCAGGTATCTTCTGGAGTTGAATTCTTGTTTCAGGATTGATACTGTCATATCCCATATTCTGGATCTGTATTCTATAATATTCCTATGCCTTCTGTGCCTATGTCCAGACCCCATCTCCAACTCATTCCTAGATCCCCTTCCACTGTGTGCTTCACATCTTAGCAGGATCAGCTCCACTATGGAATTACTCCTAAGCTCTGGACCTCCAGATCTTCACTACTAGCCTAATCTGCACACCCCTATCCTATCTACCCTATGCACATTCTGTCCAGCAAGACATCCAGACTTTACCTCCTCTCAGATTCTAAATTACATCCATCTCCTCACCATATTCCAATCCTGTTTCCACCTTGCCTTCTGGATTTCCAGATCTCTGGACCTTTGAATATTAGCTGTAACTATCTCCGGATCTATTCCTACCTTCCATCTGAGATCCTGTGCCTATCCCCATTTAGACATCTCCACCATTCTGGTTCTTGGTTATCTCTGTTTCTGTCTTGCTGTCATTTTCAAGTTCGTTTACTAATGTTTTATCTTACTTACTAATGACTTTTCATATGCTTGTACATAGCCTTGCTCCTTTGCTTACTGATCCTCTCGGATATCCTCTAGTATATAACCCATGTAGTGCTCAAGGGGGTCGGATCACAAGGGCTTGGCCTCAGCTCGTATGCTGTGCCCCTTTCCTGAGTATGTGCCCTTAATTTCCGGGGGCTAGAACAGTTGTCTGGAGTTTCTGGGATTTGACTAGGGCAGATAATGGACGTCCAGATATTACCTGGGCAAGTGGGTAAGACTAATCCGGATGAGGTCCAGACTAGAAACTATCAGAGGATGGACTACCCCTAAGGTGGAGTTGGAAATGTAGTCTAGGATGCAATCCTAAGACTCGGAATATGACAAGAGACTTATCCTGAGTCTGGAGGACACAGGAATGAGCAGGAACTAAGATGATATTTGAACTGGAGTATTTCCGAGAGTTACAGGAGGTTTATATACTGTAGGTATCATATAGGAATCAGTCAGCAAACATAAAGGCTATGTATGAAGCATATGCAGAGTCTATTAGTAAGTAGGACGGATCACAAATAATGAACACCAGAAATGAAATATATGTAACAGATCAATAATCAAAAGGGAAACATGGTTAACCAGAGTCCAGAGACAGGGGCAGTCTAAATGGGGTTGGGTGCTGATATAGGGTTTGGATTCCGGAAGGGAGATAAAGATAGATCAGATCATTTGAGATCCGGATCTCAGATCCGGATATCTGGAGAAGCGGATTTAGAGTTGAGAGTCCAGAATGGCATATGACACATCTGAGTTCTGTCCTTTTCCATAAGGCCTAGGGATAGGTAGTCCATCTCTGTTTGTTTCTATATTGGACTTCATCTGATGTAGCTCCTATTCCTTCTGTATCTCTAGACATCCTGTCCTCTGTACCTCTGTACCTCCATCCTTCTGTACCTTTTGATCTCTCCTTCTATCCTATCCTGCTTTGGACTTTGTCCCCTGCAGTCTCTCCTCCATTCTATTTCCTCTAGAGCCATTGCCTAGGGTTCTTTTCACTTCCTATGCATTGGAAACTCCTATGAATATTTCCTGTATTCCTCTGGAACTCTTGTATGTAAAGAAATGAAAGAAAAACATGGATAAAATAAGGTTGGATAAATCATAAGACAAAACACAGCTGATATTGAGTACTACATAAGAGGAGCCATTCATGCATGTTCTGAGTCTTCAATTCACCATTATCAGTGTGATAGGTTCCAACTTTGGAACCAGCTTCAACTTTGCAGGTGAGAGCCCATGCTTGTAGAATAGGGAATGTGTCAGACTGTTAAGGTTGTACTCAAGGGCTAATGGATCCTAAGCTTGTGTGCTGTGCCCCTTACCCAAGTATTACCCCTTATTTCAGGAGGACAAGAATAATGCATCCAGAGGGTTGGACAAGTAGTGTAGTGGATCTGGATGACTTCCAGATGTAGGATAAGTATTGTAAGACTAATCCAGACACAGACTAGAAACTATCAGTAATGGACTGTTGTAGACAGAGGCAGATGCAGGTAGACTATAGGAATCAATCCTAAGTCTTGGAGGGTGATGAGAGTAGAGGTACTCAGGTCTGGAGGACAGGAATAAGCAGAACTAAGACAATATTTGAACTGAGGTGCTACAAAGATTTACAGGAGGTTATATACTGTAGGTATCTAATGGAATGATCAATCAGCAGGGTCCAAGGCTATGTATGAAGCATATGGATAGTCTATTGGTACAGTGGCTCGAAAAACTGTCCACATGTTTTGACATTTTTCACTATCTATGATATTGTGTGAGAACTCACAAATGCCTCAAGGACATGCTTATAGCACATTGTAGTATGGCTTCAGGGCTTTCATTTGAGCCCTACACCGTGGGAATTGGTGGAGATATGGTGGAGATACAAGGCTTACAAAATCATGACTCATGCGGACAGTTTTTTGAGCACATATCAAAACTATATAAATCATCATTTATGACACCATAACAATCATGCCACCATTAAATAAATTATAAAGTGGTGTCATTATGTCATTTTAAAACCATATCTAACTATACAAACCAAAAATTTCCATATGTCATGGTTATATTCACCATGAAAGCCACCCCCCCTGCTCAAAGGGATAATATCCTCTCTCTTTCCTATTCTGGCCTCTCTGCTTGTCAAATTTCCTCTAGAACTGGAGTATCCAAGTCCACTGTGGCCAAGTTCATCAAAGAAAGTCACACAGACAAGGAAAACTTCTGTGAAGGGCATCCATCCAAGCTCACCTCTACTGATAGGAGGGCTATTATTCAACATATCACTACAGGAAAGGCTGATAATGCTGTCCAGGTCACCTATTACATCAATTCCACCATCACATTCCCTGTCTCTTCACACACTGTGAGAAACATTCTCAAGACAGCTTATCTCAGGTCAGTAACAAGGAAGAAAGGCTTTCCTCTCTATCACACATAAACAGAGATGACTAACCTTTGCCTTAGCCCATCAGAATTGGATTACATGGACTGGAAGCATGTTATATAATCATATAAGACCACAATAAATAGGATTGGGTCAGATGGCAAGGTATATATGTGAAAAAAGAAGGGTGCTAGTCCTCTCTGCATATGTGTGATAGAGAGGAGAGCCTTTTCTTCCTTGTTACTGACCTGAGATAAGCTGTCTTGAGAATGTTTCTCACAGTGTGTGAAGAGACAGGGAATGTGATGGTGGAATTGATGTAATAGGTGACCTGGACAGCATTATCAGCCTTTCCTGTAGTGATATGTTGAATAATAGCCCTCCTATCAGTAGAGGTGAGCTTGGATGGATGCCCTTCACAGAAGTTTTCCTTGTCTGTGTGACTTTCTTTGATGAACTTGGCCACAGTGGACTTGGATACTCCAGTTCTAGAGGAAATTTGACAAGCAGAGAGGCCAGAATAGGAAAGAGAGAGGATATTATCCCTTTGAGCAGGGGGGGTGGCTTTCATGGTGAATATAACCATGACATATGGAAATTTTTGGTTTGTATAGTTGGATATGGTTTTAAAATGACATAATGACACCACTTTATAATTTATTTAATGGTGGCATGATTGTTATGGTGTCATAAATGATGATTTATATAGTTTTGATATGTGCTCAAAAAACTGTCCGCATGAGTCATGATTTTGTAAGCCTTGTATCTCCACCATATCTCCACCAATTCCCACGGTGTAGGGCTCAAATGAAAGCCCTGAAGCCATACTACAATGTGCTATAAGCATGTCCTTGAGGCATTTGTGAGTTCTCACACAATATCATAGATAGTGAAAAATGTCAAAACATGTGGACAGTTTTTCGAGCCACTGTAAGTAGGAAAGGATTGCTAGTAATGAAATGGAAATGAAACATAGGTAACAGATCAGTGAGCAGGGCAGATATACAGATAAACGAAGTACCAGAGTCAGGGAGTTACTGAAAGGAGACGAGTGCTGGTTGTGGATTTGGATGAGTTGTGGACCAGACTGGATGAGTGTATATTCTGAGCAGATCATGAGCCTGCGAATATTGACACATGTGAAAAGGGCCTTTGTAAGCACCCATGTGGAGATCATCATTCTTGTGCTTCTTGATGAGAATGGAGAGGCCTGTGCACAAGCACTCATATAGCTATCACACTCCAAAGATTTGCATTCTGATTCTTTCTCTCTCCCTCTTCATACTCCCCTCCGTATGATATCTTACATTTTAGACCAATTTTATCCTCTTACACGCAGATCATGACCTCTACTGTAGCCACTTCTCTCGCTCCAGGTAATGCTTCAGCCAGTTCTTCCTCAGCTCCATTAGGAAGTGGGGCACCCTTGGCTATTCCCATGTCTTCAGGCACACAATTGATGCATGATCAAGTTGTGGCTGAGAATGCTCGCTGAGTAGCAAGCAACATGGCTTTGCAACTGCTTAGAGATGCAGGTAATACAAATGTTACCCTGGACAAGCCACTTCTCCCTGTCCCCCTTGCCCCAACTACAGCAACCAGCCTGCAACAGTGGATATCAGCTTTCGTCAACCTATCCCCCAATTCACAGGCTCAAGGAGCTGCTGTACTTGGAGGTATCACTGGTGCTACCCCTTCCAGTGCGAGACCAGTTGTTTCTTCCATCTCTAAAGTGCTGTTTGACAGCTGAAAGGAAGTCACATCCTCCAGTGGGCTCAACTCTACCTACAATTTCAGCATTCATCATTTTATCCAAGATCTTGCTGACACTGGTGAATACTGTCCTCTGATGCTTTTCTCCAATAAGAACACAGAGTGTTTGCACTGTGAGGGACACTCCCTCAAACACACTAAGGTGCACATCAAAGGTGTCTCCCATCACCTCTTAGACCTCTCGCAATTTGAAAATGAGCGCGAATTGGATCCACTCACCTGGCAAGAAGCCTTCCAATATTATCTCACCTGGATAGCTGCTGTCAATGACGCACAAGCCATCAAGCATTGGACATCTCACTTCACCACCTTAGCCAAGGATGAAGCCATCCAAAAGAATTTTCAGGCTATCCTTGAATTTGACATTGAGACCAGGCAGAATTATGTTTTACGCCCTCATGTGCATGATGAAACTGAATGGAGTCATCGCCTGCAAAAGAAAAAATATGCTATGCTGCAGGATGAACTTTTTTGTTATTCTTAACAACTTCACTCCTCCTTTCCTGACTGTTCTTCTGCGGCTGCTTCTTCCTCTCATTTTGAGCCTTATGACAACTCTGTCAAATGTGCACCTAGGAAGCATGAAGGCAAGCAGTCTTCCTTTCAAGACCCCAAATCTGTCAAGGCCACAGATCCCATGTGCATCATCTGTAGCCATACCGGCCACCGCTTCTCTGTGTGCACTGAAGAGACTTTGTCGAAAGGAACACAAACTTTTGCTAAGTACTCAGATGGAAACCTGTGCAGACACTCTAACAACTCTTAGCTCTGCATTGGATTCAATCTCAACAATCCACAATGTCAATACAAACGAGATCACTCCAATCAGCATCTTTGTTCCTTCTGTGGGCGCACTGAGCACAGCACTCTCTCATGATCATGTCTTTGATCCTGACAAGGATTTCTTCTTGGTGCATGTTCCTGATCTTGAACCATCTTGCCCACCCTCACCCAGATACATATACTTTGATAACCTTCAAAAAACTTCATTGCCATATGATCTTGATGCCAACTACTCTCTAATCCAAGCACCTTACTCTCCTGATGGCTTCGATCATCTTCTTAAAGCCACCAATCTTACTCTACAATTCCCTGAACTTACCTGGAAGTTACGCCATGGTTTTCCCATTGGAAACATGGCTCCCCTCACCTCCACATATACACCGCTCAATCTACCTGGTGCTGATATATACTGGGAAGTCTGCAATGAGTACATCACAGATGAACTGTCTAAGGAATGATTCTTGGGCCCATATACTCATCAACAGCTCTATGCCAAGATTGGCCATTTTCGATCCTCTCCCTTACAAGTTGTAGTCAAAAAGGGTATCAATGGTGCCCCGGACAAACATTGAGTCTGTCATCACTTATCTTATCATGGCTCAACAAGCACATCCATCAATGACAAGATCAATGCAAGTCTATATGCCACAGAGTGGGGCACAGTGGCTGAATTTGCCAAGATTGTGCATACATCCTCTCACTGCATCATTTCTTGGACACTCTTTGTGAATCGCACACATGATACCGAGCTACCTTCACAAGCTCTCTTTGTACATGTTGCATTCATTCAAAGGCACAAGAACCTCTTCGCACATATACTAATCAACATATCTCAGGTTCGAGACACTCCTCCAGGTGCTCAATTCACTACTCTAGATATTGAAGCCACTTACTGAGGAATTCCCTGCCTTCCTGCACATAAACACTATCTCATTGTTTACCACAACAGTAAACTCTACATTGATCACAATATTCCATTTGGCTTAGCCTCCACTGCAGGTCTTCAAGGCAAAGTAGCCAATGCTACAGTTGCCATTTGGTGGGAACTTAATGTCAAACCCTCTAAAAAATGAGTTGATGATGTTAGCATCTTTCACTTCCCTTCCCCTACAGGCATCTTCATCAGTCTCTCTAATGGCTCCTTATATCACTATGAATATGATCTCTCTCATGCAAAGCTGCTCATCGCTCCTGCCAAGGTACCATGGCACCCTGACAAGGGACAGGACTTCAGTGATGATGGAGACTACATTGGATTCTTCTGGGATCTTCCTCACAAATCTGTTGCTCTCACTGGATCCAAACATCTAAAATACATCTCACATCTTTCTGATTTCCTCTCTCAGTATGAGAAGATGAAGGTTCTGAAACATGAACTCAAGAGTGTCACTGGATTCCTAAATAACGCATCATTTGTATATCTTCATGGTCACTCTTACCTTTCCAGTCTATACTCTGCCATATCTGCCTATAACTCCAATGAGTTTGTTCCACATTGGCTACCAAAATCGTCTATCTCTGACATCAAATGGTGGCTCTCTCTCCTTGTTTCTGAACAACCACCTCGTAGTCTCGCACCTTGTCCACCCACACATGACTATGGCATATGGGTCAATGCCTCCACAGACATGGGTATTGGTTTATTATGGAATGCTAGAGGGCCTTCTGGCGCACTAAAGAGACCTGGAAGGGTCCTCACTGTGATATTGGGTGGTTAGAGGCTATCGCAGTAGAACTTGCCATTTGCCTCATACATAGTAAGCATATCACTGACACAGATGTCCTCATTCGGAGTGACAATCAAGGCGTGATCATGTCCTTCAAAAAAGGACGTTGCTCTAACTATCTCATTAATAGGGCAATTCAATGGTCTGAGTTTCTTCTTAAGGAAGCACACCTCTTGCTCACCTTTAGCTATGTGGCATCTGCCTTCAATCTCATGGATCCTATATCTAGAGGCATACTCCCTTCTCACAGCTCGCACCTTCCCCTCCCTCCTTCCCTACCCCCTGAAATTGCATCTTACTTTCAGGATGAAGGAAACTGATCTATATTGCCAAGTCATGCAAGGTGTCGATGTGCAAGCTGCCACTGCTGCTTTCTGGGCTAACAACCCCCCCTCATCTATTTGCCAATCGGTAGCTCAATCACTTCAAGTTTCTTGCACTCACTTTCCTCGTCCCCCAAGAGCTAGCTCCTCTATCAACCCTTCTGAATACTGACCTCACATTCTAGCTAGTGATCACCTTTTAGTTTGGTCTACACCTGCTGGTCAGGAATGGCAGACTGAGCTAGAAAAGAACTTTCCTGATGCATCGCTCTTTTGTTTGTTTCAAGTATGCAAACCCCTGTACAACTCCTGTAGAGTCCTCAGTCTGAATAACATCTTAGATCCTGTCCTACTTGCCCAATCTTCTTCCAGACTTCAGTCCATCTGAGTTTGTCCTTTTCCATAAGGCCTAGGGATGGATTCTCTAGGCCAGAATTCTGGACCTTCAGATTTGTCCCCTATATCTCTGTCCCAAGTCTAGGGATTTCTTCCCTAGGCTGGAGTCTTGCCTTTCCAGCACTTATCCTCTCTCCAGACTTTGGTCCACTTCCTGTCTCTCCGACTCTACCTTAGGGTAGTCTACCTCTGTTTGTTTCTATATTGGACTCCATCCGATGCAGCCCCTATTCCTTCCAGACCTCCTGTCCCTCATACCTCTGAGCATCCTGTCCTTTGGACATTCCATCCTCCTAACCCTTGGACATCCTGTCTTCCATACCTCCATGTCCTGTCCTGAGTACCTCTGGACATCTTGTCCTCCAGACCTTCAGTCCTCCTGTCCTCCATACTCTGGACCTCCAGACATCCTGTCCTCCTGTCCTCTGGACCTCCTATCCTTCCATCCTGTTTCCTGTAGAAGTATTACCTTGTAATGGGAACTCTCCTGAGCACTTCCTGCATTCCTCCAGAACTCTCCTGTGCTCCTCTAGACATTTCTTGTGCTCCTCCGGAAGTCCTTTGGAATTCATTGGACCATCATCAGACTTCCTCTGAAATGAAGGGCACATACTTGGGTAAGGGGCATGGTGTACAAGCTGAGGCCAAGCCCCTCTGAGTCAGTCTCTTTCTCCCTTGAGCATGGTTCTTAACAATCACACTAGATATGGCTTCTCTAAAATGGTACCTCCATCCGTGCATCATGCCAAATGCCCACCTGTCACCATCAAGGCATTATCCATCCTTTTTGACAATCTCTCTTTCTTTGACCCATTTGACTGTGCAGTCAGAGCTGTTGCCTTCACCACATTTTGGTGCTGCTGCTGGTATGCAAACATCATCCTTCTCACACTCACACTCTTAAAATTTTCTCACTCTTTCAGCCTAGGCAAGCTTGCAATTCCTAGTCCCAATCCTTTTGACAGTCTTAAGCATGTCTCTTGATCAACTCTCCCTCTTGTCATTTTTGACTTGCCCAACTCCTCTCATGCATCCACTCTTCACCTCCCATGGACCAAAACCACAAAGGAGGAGGGCGCCATCATCTCCATCACTGCTCGCCCTCATTGTACATGCCCTCTGGCTGCTTTGGAACAGCATACCCTCATCAATGTGAACATTCCTGCTGATGCCCCCCTCTTCACCTATTGCACACTGACAGGCTGGTCACCTCTGACTCATCAAGACTTTATTGCATGGTGCAACAATGTTTGGTCCTCGCAAGGGTTTCCACCTATGCTGGGCCATGCCTTCTGCATTGGTGGGGCCATGGAACTCTTACTACAAGGTGTACACCCAGATGTAGTCTCTTCACAGGGCAGATGGACCTTGTGGTCTTTTCTGGAGTACTGGTGCAGAATTGAGATGATCCTGCCTCTTTTCATTTCCTCATCCTTCAACAATGATCACATCATGAATGTAGATACTATCATGGACTCTTATGCTCAGCAGCAATGACCCTCATGATCTGTCCCCTCTGCTTAATCTTCACTCTATCCTACCTTTACCATATGGGCTCTCATTGTCTTTGCAATCACAAATTTTGTTTCAGTTCAATTGCAACTCCAATTGTGTGAGTTGGTCTCTGAAGGAGATGCTACCATTGTGAGCTGCATTTTTCCTCTGGTTTAGTATTGCTTTCTCCTTCAGACCCAACATCTGCTCCTGATACTAAGTCAGTCAGTGCTCCAAAGGGCTGTTCTTTTCCTCTTCCCAATCTGCATTGACTTTTGTCTCAATACATGTGTCTTTGGGTACTCCAAGCTTCAAACATAGAACTCTGAGTTTTATAGACACTGAGCCAAAACCTGTCTCAGCCAATCAACACCAGCCCTTCCCACACAAAAACCAAATCATCCAACTCTCCAATTGAGCATGCGGTGATTTGTTTCTATTGCTCTCTCTCAGAATTCAAGTTTGACATATCTCTTAACATTTAGCTTTGCCATGCAAACTCAGATGTCACTCTCTATGTCACCTGTCCCTGGAGATTGATCTCATTACATCCTCAATCTCTCTTCTCACTTCATCATTAGCGCTAACATACAAAGGTGGACAGATTGGATGATAGGATGTTGGACGGAGATAAGATGTGGATAAGATCTGAGATCTGGATATGCGGATATGACACAGACTTAGCTGCTAGTGGAATAGCCCAAGCATAGGACAAATAATTGTTGATAATGTCCATGACATATTTATTGCCAGCTGCAGAC